ATTTCATCTTTTTAGCACTAAACAAACACAATCTTCTTTTGTACATTACAGTGTAATAACGTGTAAGCCGACAATAAATGTGCCTTTAAATGTAACTAAAACTGTCACTAAATGTGACTTTATTACCCCTGCCAACAAATTGATAGTTAACACTGTGACCAACTTACCTGGAGTTGACTAAAGCGCAAAGAAAAGTACAAACAGACCGACAAAACAATGTTTTTTGCACATCTTGAAACCATCTAAACGACATACAAGTGTATTTGGAAAATGTTTTTTTCAAAACATGAAAAAGTAGTTTGCGACACAAACTTACACTGCATCTATATTATGTTATATAGTGACGGAAATACCAGAACATATGTTCCAAACAGATCGATGAAAATATATGTGTCTTGCACATCTTTACGTACAAACTAAATTTGAAAATGATCGATGAAAACCTGTATGAGTAGTTGGCGACACAAACTTACACAGCAGTTTTATTATGTTATATCGTAACGGAAATGGCGTAACGTAAATTACAAAACAGAGTGAAAATAAATGAGTCTTGCACAGCTTCATCCCATTTGCAAGACATATTCCAAATCTGAATATGTTTGCTCAAAAACGGTGGGAGAAGTTTGTGACATAAACTTGTAGCGAAAATGTATTATGTTGCTCGATAACGAAAAAGAGAGTAACGTAATTACAAATTTAGCAGTAAATATATGGCCTGCACACCTTCAACCCACCTGAAAGACATATACTAAATTTTTAAAATGTTTGCTAGAGAACTGTAGGAGTAGTTCGCCTCAAATCTTACTTAGTCTGTACCTATATTACGTTATTTTAGCAACGTGAATAATGTAATGTAGTTTATAAAACAGCATAATGATAAGTGTGACTTGCACATATTTAACCATGATCTACAAGTCATTATACAAAATTTGAAAATGTTTCCTCAAAAACTGTGTGTTCTGACACAAACGGCCGAAGGACGGACGTTCTATGTTTAATAGAGGGCAAAGGGCCACTTATTCTATTGTTACGGAATGAACTTTTTTCTTTGTGTTCTGTTTACAGTTTAAGTCATCCCCCACCTCTTTTCGGTAGCCCGGAAGGACGGAGGGTAAACCTATAGTCACCTTGGTAAAACCATTTATATAAAAATGAACTTTTATTTGTTTGCAAATTAACCAATGAACTTTAAAAAAGCCATGTTCATTTATGGTTTGGAAATAACCGAATTCATTAAAATGAATTTCACAAATGATTTTTTTTCAAAACTTATTTAGTCATTATTATTATAACAATATATAAATTTAAAAAATAATTTAGATGCCCGAATGAAAAAAATCCAACTTTTTTTAAATATCAATTTCTATGCTTATAACACAATTTACGCAAGCGCAATGCACGTTCAAACACAAATGAATACCAGTTTATATGAGAGAATAACGCTATAAAACTATCTGATAATTTAGTGGTAGCACACCTTCACAACGATCCCTTCACCAAGATGACAACGATTGCAAAAAGTGACCAAAACATACACTCTCATAAAACCTTATAAATCATAATTAAATAAATCTTACCGTGACTTTTCCGGTGGAATTCAATAGAATATCGAATTATTTTCTAGATGCAATCAAAATAAACATTTATACATCACATTTTAATATGAAAGTCAAGATTTAATTAAAACCGAAAGTAAATTTTGGGTGTCACTTTTTGCAAAAGAAAAGTCAGTCACGGTAAGATTTATTTAATTATGATTTATAAGGTTTTATGAGAGTGTATGTTTTGGAGCCTGCAATCTTTACTTTTTTGAGACTTCATGGTATACGGTTTTTTTTCATACATGTAAAAATTGTCTGAAAACCAGTTTTAAAAAAAGTAAACCTTTTTACTTTTGTTTTCGATGTCTTTAGTGACTATAGCCTAATTAATTTGGCGTGAACGGTTTGACCCATTTTACAGACTTTTTTTTCTTACTGTCAAACCGTTACGCCTAATTTTAACTGTCATTTTTACGCACGGAAAATCTACCGGTAACACTATCGATAGTTTGGACTGATTTTTACTGCTTAAACCTGAAAGTAACTTCAATTACCTCTAAAGATCAATAGAATATAAATTTTAGTACTAACTTCTCCTAGAAAAAATATTAGATTGTACCTGTCTTAACGCATACATGCGATTTATTTCAAATTTGTACTGTCTACTCTATCTTCGGCGGACATGTTATGACGTCATCGTAAAAAATCGATTCTGTGAAAGCTGGTAGTAGCTACCAGTGTGTATAGCAGGTAAGTGTGGGTTACGCATGAAGATTAAATTAAACAAAATATCGGGGGAAATAAATCTATTCATTATTTTTTCAATAAATGTGTGCATTATTAAATACTATTGAAAAGTATCATTGTATTTAACCTAAAATGCAATGGTCGCAAATAGGTTCCGTACAAGTACTGTTGTTTAATATTTTTTAAAATATTTTAATACATGTACATTTGTACTCAACATTTATCAATTAGTGGTTTGCCTTCTTGTTTACTGCTAATGACTGCCAAATGTCACTCTCGAATAAAATACTGACTTCATTTATACATGCATATTTATATGACAATTAAGAACGTAAAAGAAATATTGAAGGAAACTATTTGAAATACACTTCAAATTATTCAGTATTTGTACAAATAATATTTCAAGAGCTCTTTTTTCACCGATTGCCGATATATAATACCATATTAAAACCTATTGATAAAGTTAAATGTCTTCTTGACATACTTTATTAATTTACTAAAAAGGAACTTTATTGTGATCCAGCCATATGCTGTGTAACTATAAAGGAAGGGTCACATATTTTAATTGAAATAAATTTTAAGAAGAGGATATTTAAAAAAAGTCATTGAGAAGATCAGAATTTTCAAATGAACAGATTAAGAGACTTATAAATGTATAAGGTGTATGTCTTGTTGTTTCATACTGTTTTGGTGACACTTTTGTTTGTGTCCCTTGTTGTTTTGATGTCTATGGTAAGTATCTTCCCTTTGCCCCTAGTTTTATTTCTTTATTTCGCCCCCTCCCCCGAATTTCCTATCCCCTTCTCCTGTGCCCTTAACTTAGTGGTCCTGTTTCATACTGTTTTGGTGACACTTTTGTTTGTGTCCCTTGTTGTTTTTTTCGTCTCTGGTAAGTATCTTCCCTTTGCCCCTAGTTTTATTTCTTTATTTCGCCCCCTCCCCGAATTTCCTATCCCCTTCCCCTGTGCTCGTTAACTTAGTGGTCCTATTAATCATTCATTTATTTATTTTCTTTGATTTCCTTCTTCAGTTACATTTTAGTGATAAGCCTGACCGTGCTCTCCCTTGCGCCCTTTCCCGTTTTAATTTAGGATCCTGGGCTCCTTGCCAATGGTTCATGTTCCTGGGTCGTGTGGGGTTTGCGTACATTGAACGCCGCCTTTCCTTGTTCATCTTGTTAATCATATTGTATACATGTATACCGAACCGTAACAAACAGATAATGATTATCAATACAGGGTTCGGAAAGCAAGCAAAGAAATGTAAAGAAACAGAAAAAACTTATCCACATTCATGTATCCACCCTCCAAAAAAACCCACCAAAAACGCCTGAAACTGCAAAATCGAAACATAAATACACAGGAGTGCCAAAGACGGCTCTGGTAGGTTCAAGTGCTCCCTTTCGCCGGTTTAAACAGAATTGATCACTTAAACATAATAATGTTGAATTTTTTAATCAACATCCACAGATGTGTACATAATACGGCGGTAATCATGGAACTTTCAATGTGACACATTCGAGGTGCCGTTCAACGGGAACTAGATAACATGGAATTTTTAATGGGTATCAGAGGTTTTGGTGCCTTTTGCGACAGTCGTTCCAACATTTCTCCCATCTGTCTTACATTGTAATGCTATTCAACATCTAAATAACGGTCACTAAATTTCCGCTTGCTGTGTTTTTATCATAAACCCCGTCAAATCTGTGCGACAATTGTATTTTACTGAGGACTGTCTGAAATTCCATTTTATAGTTTGAAATTTTAAGATTTTTTTTCAGAGTTTTAAAGTTATTTTTGGTTGTTTTGAACTTCTTCCCATACACAACCGTCCTCAATTTCTTTTAAAGATAATAAACTAGAAATTGATATGGAGTGTAATATAAATTGAAATTCTTCTTTGCTTCATCATGAATAGTATAATTATAATTCATTAAGATGTACCTACAATTACATTGTATTTTCGTATGTGGGAAATCATGGCAGGGTTATAAAATAAAAAGGTAGTTTAGAAATTTCCCCTAATGATCACAGATGTTAAAAAATCCAACTTAATAATATCTAATTTGACAATTTAAACGGACTTAAATGCAGTATGATCTGACATCGGACATCATAAACTATTTAATTTCTAAGTAAGGTTATCATAATTTCCTTTACACATTCTCTTTTTAATGCTGAAATATTTGTGTGTGAATAAAAGAGTTATTCCTGCAATAATTCATATAAATAACATAAACCAATTGTATAATAAAGCTTGGCAAATACAATCGATTGCCGCCGATACCTGTGTTACACCATGGATTTTAACAGTGTTTACAATTTTACCATGACACCGCTTTCCAATATGGCCGCTTTCAATAATTTTCAACGATTAAAAAAATTAAAGTGGAATATTTAGACTTCTGTTCGAATTTGAAGTATGATAATTTGGAACCTTGCATAAAAAACGATTCTCTTTCAGGTAATGTAGACCGTTTCTTTGAAACTTTTCTATTTTTCGCTCCCAACAACTTCTAATTGGGAAGCGTCCGTGCATAAAAATGCAGTTCGTGGTTGGACTTGGAAAAAGACAGCGCCCGTCCAAAATTATCTCGGTGTCTCTTTGACAAGTCTAATTAGTTGGACTATAGTGACTATTTCCGATGAACGCTGTACACGAGTGACTTACTTCCTCATCCACAAGATAGACATTGTACAATTTATTACTTACGGAAACGTGTCTTCTTTAATCCATTCACAGTGTTTTGAAACAAGTGATATGACAATTGTGCACAAGGTCCATCATTGTTTTCATACCAAATGTCAATATGAACTCACAGTAAAACCATAGGCACTTGGTTTCGGGATAAAATAACCCTTTGAGAGGTTTGTAGAACTCAAATATAATTGAATGTTACAATTTTTTTAACGTAGATGTCCCTTTTCTAAAACCGTCATTTTCCCGATATTACTAAAAAAAAACACGTGTTTTTTTAGTAATATCGGGAAAATGACGGTTTTAGAAAAGGGACATCTACGTTAAAAAAATTGTAACATTCAATTATATTTGAGTTCTACAAACCTCTCAAAGGGTTATTTTATCCCGAAACCAAGTGCCTATGAGTAAAACAACTGATAAAAGCCAGTCCTGTACATAACTCGCTCTAGATCGAGCCAAGTAAATTCCATTGTCTATTTATAGATATTACGTATGAATAAATTAATACAGCTTCTCGGCCCGCCTACATTTAGACGTCGCACACCAAAATCCTAATATCTTCGCAACTACTCGGCCCTTTCCGTCAGTCTTCGGATAAGGACCTCGAACAACACAGAACGGATGCGGTTTTTCGGTCTAACCTTCGCTAAGAAACTAAACATGTAAACAAATAGTAATTTAATGCTTGGAGTTGTTGACAAGTTTATTTCCAATATATGTAGTAAAAGTCTACCTAAAATAAGTGAATTCATAGGTACAATAGCAAACAATACATTAATTATATATTTATTGAAACCGAAAGTACAAAAAACCAACCTGTCGACATTTAGTCGGATTTGTTTAAAATTGAACATCAGTGGGCATACTTAAATTGCAAATTGTTGTCAGACATATTTTCAAGCATAGGAGTACCGGGACATAGGTGTTCGGCGCGTTGATTGGTCACTACCCCCGGGCCACCCCCCATCCCCTCACCCACTCTACAAACCTCCTACCTCTCAAAACCATGGAAACTGCAGTATTTTTTCATTCTAAACCTGTTTTAATATTAGGTATATGCCTTTAATTCAATTACCTTCATCTCTCACAAAAAAATAAAAAAATGATATTTATATATTTAGTAAAGGTATGCGCAATACAAAAAATATTCATTCATTTCGAATAAACTGACGTTAAGTCGGGTAATTTTGACAAAAACCCAGCGGTCAGGTCTCTGTCGAGTTACACTTGCGGTAACTTCTAGATTACATATCTTCTTAAAAAATGAAATGATTGTAATGACTGCTTTAATTAATTCCTTTAAGAATAATCAATTCCCTACCATTTGGTACCAATTAAGATATTGAAAATTGGTGAAAAATGTTGGAGTTATGGAGTTCATATTAAGATGAGTGCTGAAAAATGAACTCGATTAAACTTGATTGGTCACTACCCCCGGGCCACCCCCACAACCTCACCCACTCTACAACCCTCCTACCTCTCAAAACCATGTAAACTGCAGTATTTTTCATTCTAAACATGTTTTAATATTAGGTATTTGCCTTCAACTCAAATACCTTCATCTCTCAAAAAATAAAAAAAATGATATTTATATAATTATTTAGTAAAGGTATGCAACTCGCCGTTCATTTTTCAGAACTCATCTTAATATGAACTCCATAACTCCAACATTTTTCACCAATTTTCAATATCTTGGTACCAAATGGTAGGGAATTGATTATTCTTAAAGGAATTAATTAAAGCAGTCATTACAATCATTTCATTTTTAAGAAGATATGTAATCTACAAGGGCGTAGCGCCCATTACGCACAATACGCAATTGCGTATTAAAAAATTCGGAAGGTAAAAAAATAAAGTTGAGAAAATCTAAGTTTTAATGATTTTATCGCTATAATATAAATCTAGATCTCCATTTCTGTTTACAAAATATTTCGTTGCGTCATACTGTTTACTAGTGTAAACTATGATTGCGTCACTCTATTATTTATTATCGTAATATATGTGTAATAGGAATTTAAGTTACTCGTTAACAAACTTATTGCACAGAGATAAACGAAAAGCTCAGCATTAATTTATCTACAAACTAGGCTCATAACAACTTATCGTTTTATAAATTCTCAGAAAATAAAGATTATTAAGACTTTTCTTAAAGATTAAGACCAATCCTTTCTAAATCGTTTCCTTTGAAATAGCTATATTTTAAAACGACTTTAAATCTTTTAAGTTCTAGATCAAGATTTTAAAAATCATCAACTCGGGGCAAAATTTAATTTTTTGTGTGTTGTTAGTTGTCAAAATGAAAAGAAACATCCGTCAAATTCCAGGACAAGCGACCCTGTTTATGGTCCTAAAACATGACCCCGTTTAAGTCGATAATGAATCTGACCAGGCAGAAACAAAACAGAATTCACAAGACCTGGTATGTGAACCTCCTGTGATCAGCAAATCAGACGCCAATGTCGTGTCTCCTCTCCCTTTTTCTTCTCCGTCCACCTCCTCCTCTTTGTCTTCCCCTGTTTTTTCTCCCCTCGAGAACCGCTAAAAGCTCCGTGGGAGCACAATTCCTGGATATCGGAAGTGTTGATATCAGAAGCCGACTAAGAATGCCAGATTCTAAAAAAAATGTTTATAAATGTGGTTTTGACAGATGGTGCTGTGAATTTGATAAATGGTCTTGTGGTTTAGATAAATGGTGATGTCGATTTGATAAATGGTCTTGTGGTTTAGATAAATGGTGATGTCGTTTTGATAAATGGTGATGTCGTTTTGATAAATGGTGCTGTGGTTTTAATAAATGGTGCTGTGGTTTTAATAAATGGTGCTGTGGTTTTGACATATGGTGCTGCGGTAATGATAAATGGTGGTGGTATTTTGGTACCTGGTGGTGTCATTTCATATATGGTGCTGTTGTTTTGATAAATGATGCTATATATATTTTTGATAGATGATGCTGTTGGTTTGCTATATGGTGTTGTTCGTTTTATAAATGGTGATACTATTTTGATGTATGGTTATGTTCTTTTTATAAATGGTGATACTTTTTTTCCCTATGGTGATTTTCTTTTATAAATGGTGATACTATTTTGCTAAATGGTGATGTTTTTTTATAAATGGAGATACTATTTTGCTATATGGTAATGTTCGTTTATAAATGATGATACTATTGTGCTATATGGAAATGTTCTTTTTATAAATGATGATACTATTTTGCTATATATTGATGTTCTTTCGTTAAATGGTGATACTATGTATATGTTAGTGTTAATCCGTGCTGTTCTACAGAAATTAGAGCGATAGCGACCGAAGAATGTTTCCAATTTCTGTAGAACAGCTTCGGATGAATACTAACATATTTAGTGTCAAACTTTATTTGGCCTCATTAATATTCACGATAAAATTGGCAGATATTTACGGTAAAAACCTACCTACCTACCCACCTCGATCCCTACCGTCAAAGTTTCTAATTTCTGTAGAACAGCACGGATGAACACTAACATATACATTATTATGGTGATGTTCTTTTTATAAATGGTTAAACAATTTTGCTATATGATGCTTTTTATAAATGGTGATACTATTTTGATGTATGGTTCTATGATTTTTCATTAAAATGATGTTCAGCTAAGATGACCTGGTTGTTGACAGGAGCAATTTGATAAGGGTAAAACTACGGTGGCATAGAGTTGACATTTTCAGTTTTATTTTATCTCGTGGCCACGACTTATTATCTTGAGGCCTCAAGATATTATCTCGTTGCCACGACTTATTATCTCGTGGCCACGACTTATTTTCTTGTGGCCTCAAGATATTATCTCGTGGCCACGAGTTTTTATCTTGTGGCCACGAGTAATTAACTTGTGGCCTCAATATATTATCTCGTTGCCACGATTGTGGCCATGACTTATTATCTTGAAACCTCAAGATATTATCTCGTGGCCACGAGTTATTATTTTGTTGCATGACTTATAATCTCGTGGCCACGAGTTATTATCTTGTGGCCACGACTTATTATCTCGTGTCCACGACTTATTATTTTAAGGCCACGAATTATTATTTTGTGTCCACGACTTACTATCTCGTTACCACGAGTTATTATCTTGTGGTCACGACTTTTTCAGCCAATGAAAATGATCGTTTCATCTTGAATAAACTGGCAATAACTTTCACAGGAGGGGCGGGTCGCACGCACCACCGTAAATTTACTTCAGTAGTTTCCTACAAATTTATTTACCAATCAGGAGGTTATATTTCTGTTACAAGTTGTAGGAATCCGGTATAAAGTCTATGTATTGCCTGTCATTGTTTAGAGAACAAAAAAAAAACGATTGAGAAATACTTTGTTTGCCAAGAATCTACGCGGAAGGCGGCATATTAAACTGCCCTAGAAAGGTCAATTTCCTAAATTCGACAATTATTTCTATTGAATTAATGCCCATTGCAGATAAGGTGTATTGTGTGCTTGTACTTGTTGCAAATGAGACTGAATCGGTGCGCTTCTCTTCGCTGTATAATAATTTCATAACTAACAGCCAAAGAGATCTCTAGGCAATATCATTGAAGAGTAAATTGTTTTTAAAGTAACCGTAGATAAACCGTTATTGATATACTCGAAACGCCACTTTAAGGAGCATCTGTTACAAATTGATAACATCATGTCCAGTCCCTGGTTCCGGACACAACTAAAAATATTCCGGTAAATTTCTTTAAATGCTAGAAATGATGTGCCGTCGACAGAATTGAAGAAGAAGAGGTTTGTCAAGTATTTCATTGTATTTTTTTAAAACTGAAAATCACAAATATGTATGATTTATATTTAGTTTACTACAAAAATGTAAGTAACCATAAAATACAAACTTCAAAAATGTAAGTAACCATAAAATACAAACTTCAATAATAATAATAATAATAATAATACATAATACATAATTCATTTATGCTTTATGAATTCTCAAAGCTAAATTTTCATTGTAATGCAATATCTTACGTTCTGGCTTTATATAGTTCATGATAGTTATGAGTTAGATTTGAAAACTGACTTTTTCACAAAAATAAACTAATAAATGGGATTTACGGATGACATTTTTATTAAAACAAAAGTACTGCCTGGTAATGCGGTAGCAG